CCTGAGAGTACTTGATAGTTGTTTCGCTCTAGTATGAGACGCTTCAGCAGTGAGTACCTGCAACTACACCAGGGACAGAAATCACGACCTTCAGCTGTTATAATAAACCTGTCAACCATTTACTCACTGTCAGCGTGACTATCAACTAAGGAGTCTTAGACACGTACTGCTAAGGAGTCCCATACCTGCACGAAACAGCTGTCTTCAATGCTTCTCCAACTCACATCAGTCTGTGATGAATGCTACTTTGAAATAAATAAGATGTCCTCCATAAAACCTCCATAGTCATGCCATCGCCAAACCCCAAAATCTACATTTATGTTACAGACAAACAGACAAACAATGAGTGACTTCTTGAACTGGTAGCACGTTTCAGTCTACTAGTCCCTATCTGTCTACTTCTTCTTCTATAGATAGTCGTTCAACGTACTTTAGGGGAGATTGCATGTGATAGATGAGGGTAGAGCACATGTCTCACTCAACCGAACTGACTACTTCTCACAACTTCATCGAATGATATCAGTGACATAGGAGTGCTTATTGACATTTCTCTAGTTGAATATCAACATATTGTCTATGATCTCACTCACTGATAACTTAGTTTCAATATTCCATTCCAATGAAAATAATGTCTCAGAGTGATATTTTATAGTCCATAGCTTATCAATCAGTAGGCATTGATGAACATTGTGTGATTTCAGTTGAAAACAAGTATCTCCTTAGATACTTGTGTTGTCATTGATTGTGTAATATTTTATTGATTTCATCTGTCATTTATTTGATTGGTAGCATGATTATATAGGTGAGTCGATTTAAGAAGTTTCGACCGATTCCTCACTCCTTTCTGTATGACCTGTATTAGTTCTGAGATGATTGCAGCTTGTATGAAAACCTGTTGTTATGCATTCGATTGCATATTTTGTGTTTGAAATGGATTGTTTCATCTTTATAAATTATGGTGTGTGTGTGTGTGTGTGTGTGTGTGTTGTGGTCAGGTAATTCAATTGCATGTACACACATGGATAATGAGCAGAATTGCATTACTCATGGTTTGCGTAGTTGGATTGAATATACCAGATTAGGCAAGTGTATTCTACACTAATCACGCGCAAGGTCAGCTGTAAGACTGGGTGGGCAGAATCATCTGCATAAGACAATTACATCCAGGCAAACAAAGATATAACTCATTGAAAATCACTGAGTCCGTTTCAACGTCATCCTAATCACAACTGAAACAGCCAATCACATTTAGTTATTTTAAGCCGATTCGCCTTTCAAAAGGAAATAAACAATTTCCATTGGCTATTTCAGTCTCTTTTAGGCTAACCTTTACAGTCACTCTCTTACTTCACTTTGCATTGAGTAATAAAATTCAACGAACACTGATTACATTTATAGCTATGTTAACTCATCATTGTGAGTTTTCATGCTTAGAAAATAAACACAAACTTTCATGAAATCATTGTTTACCTCTATTCAGACATGCAAGCTCTTCGACATACTCCTCAGCTGATGAGTGTTGACCAAGTAGATAAGTGAATACACGCACATTTTTCTGTAAGGAAAATTCAACCCTCTGTATTCATTCATATCATCAAACATGTATACATGACAAAACTGTATCTTCAAACAATCTCATTTTCACCAATTAATATGATGTGTAGTGGCTAGCAATGAATTTCACGACATGCATTGTGTCCTATTTGGGAATCTCCAGCTGAATGATTCTGACAGATGACATTCTCATTCAGACTGTGATCCAATGGACATCGTTTCAAACACCGAGGTGCCAATCACTAGGTTACTGAGTTATAAGAACCACTGCGTTCGTGTGTTACACCACATTGTCATTCAATTATGCAACCATTCAAAATCATTGAAATCTCAGGTCTGTTCTGAATATCTATCCTCTACAGGATGCATTTCATTCCACTGGTTGCATATATCCATACACAAATAATCCACAACCACTAGGACCTAAGGACAACAACGGGGTGTCACAACCAGAGGTTGGAATACACGACTGGACTATGTAGGCGGTTTCAGTTACCGATAGATCTCCAGTTCAAATAATCAGTGTGAGTAAGTGCTTCAAAGTATGATCGTTAACGTTTATGGCAAGCGATTTTGAAGTCATGGAGCTTAAGGATTTGGAAATAATCTGTACAGATATTATTCCACAACTGAAATCGCAGTAGTAATGAAGTAATCTCATGTTGTTGAGGTTTGTATGGGATTTCATGGTTACATTCAATTTCGACTGATATCAGTTAGAGATTCGTTGAATACCTATGAGCCATGGAAAGCTGATTTATCGTAGTGTTGGACTTGTGAGTAGTGCACATGCACAACACCGAGAGACACTGAATCTCGATCATCTCCAGTTAACATTTGCACATGCAGACTTCTTTCTATACTAGGATGCAACTCGCTAATCTCTTGTCTCTTTCAACGATCAATCTAGTTGTCATGGAGTAAATATGCTGTTGAGAAGTGAGTCAATCACATGACGAGTACTTCTACCAATTACTTCCATGTTCAATTCATGACACAAAAACTGTTCTCATACACATCGACTTAACGTGAGTACAACTTGTTCAAATAAAACATCTTGAATACTACTACTGACAGTTTGACAGTAGCGTCATTTACATCACCAAATATTCGGCACATCAACAATCCATTCTCAAATTGACTCTGTCATCACTGTCATCTATGCATTGAAGACTGAACACACACTCACCACTACATCACCTTGTAACAAACAAGTCTAGACAAAATGTCTCAACGTGAGAGTAGAGCTAATCACAAAAGTACAGTCAGTCACATTCTCAGAAGGCAACTATAACCTGCTATCACATTTCACAACATCATGAACTAATCACAATGTAGTTGAGCCTTCATTCTATTCACATAAGGAAACTGTAACAGTGTGGAATGGATGTCATCACCCAATTCACTTGAACAACCCACACAAATTACTCATCTAAGAAAACTATGCAGTCTGTTTACATCCTACTCAAACTCTTGTAATTCTCTTTCACTCAATATTCACTACAGGTGCCATGTGGGAGATTCAATTGGATGAGTATCGTTTGGATTTTTTCGACTGCCGTTCACAACCTTGGTGAGTCAATCAACCAATTGAAAAGTGTAATTTACATCAGCTTGTTTTAGCAAACTATGTAAGTTGTGGGATTTAGGTATTTGTTATGTGGAATAGTTGAGAAGAAGAGGGGAAACAACCTAATTCCCATTATACTGGTTTACGAAGGTGATTTGGATAGAGAGAAGCGATTGAAATAGGTGTAGAGTGTGATTAAGGAAGTCTGTAGATGTGTGTGAGTGGTCTCAAACCGTTCTCGTTCATCAGTTATGTGATAAGAGTAATTAGTTTTCATACAGAAAACCACTGAGTATTTTGAGGCCAGTACACGTTTCCCTTCAATGGTTTTGAGTGATGTTCGCTCGAACCCTGCAGAAATAACAGCGATTCATTACGGAGGTTTCAGAGGGGATTAGTTTACTGATTTCAATTTCGCATTAATCATGAAATGACTGACATTGGCGGAGAAGCACTGAGGTCTTGGGTGTACTGAACAAGCGTTTCGTTGTTACAAGCGACTCGTCAGCAGTTGGCTTTCATGACTCCGCGAGAGATCGAATTCAGGATAACTGCCTTGTGACAGCCATATACAGGTTAGTTTGACGCTCTGATCCTTATCTTTCATTAGATCTCATGTTTTAATTCTTAGCAACAGTCTAAGAATATATGAAATACATTTTTAAGTATCTGAATACACAATAAGTCTTCATAATTGGTCTATATTTATGCCCAAATTTATACATGATAACAGTATAGTTGTATTGCTTGAAGTTCACGTGTACATTTAGAGTCGTACAAGAGTGAACAAGTTGTCAGACTGACTGAACTTCAACATGGTTATAAATAAAAACTTTGTTTGAATTTTACCTATTTAAATCATCTATGACAATGGTATAATATTTAAGGATGTAGTGAACGAATAGTGCTCTGTAGGTGGTCGACTGGAAGTCTTTCTTGAAGTTAGATAGGTTTCTTGTGGTTATTGGCGCTTGGTAACATATTGCATTTGTGACCTTAAGGGAACTGATGTCCCTAGATGATAAGAAGGAGGCTAAGTTCAAATCAACATTCTAAGTCATTAGCAAGAAATAGTTTATTGCACAGCTTTGACCTTCATCCAGCCAATCAAAATAAGTGTATACAACTTTTGACCTAGTGGCTTTATTTTCTAAAGAAAAACTGTTTATAAGTAATTTGTTTTTTTTATCGAATGATTTTGTTCCCTTTGGAGTCATATATAAATCTTTGTTTACCAATATTTCCGTGGCTCAATAAAGTATCAGGTTCATGTTCAAGTATTCCATTGCGTTAACAACCATATCGGATATCTTATTATTTTGTCAGTCACTTCATTTGATCAATTCAAACCTGTATCATTTAGGTGGTGCATTTTTAACACTATCACCTTTGTCAAACTGAAAGGATATCATGGTTAATATCACTCCTGGCTGATAAATATCAACATACATGTAATGTAGGTGAAACAGAGTTCCTTAAGGAATACTCTCAACCCAACCAACACAAATGAAAGTCTACCAGAAAGTTAAGCTTCCTATATTCTTGAATGATAACCTTATAAACTGATAGCTTATACTGATGCTTCATTGAATCCTGATAATTTCAGAAGGTCATCTTTAAATTGTAAGTGCTTCTGTCACACACACACACACACACACACAATAATTTGAAGTTTATGGTAATTTTTACTCTAAGTTAATGTTTTTCAAGGAATGATATCAGTTTGGAGAAGTATTGAAAACTGCAGTACATTGAACAACCGCTGTTTCGTAGCAGTATGACTCTCCTCAGTCCATAATGTATACTACTTTATATATATGTATATATTGTACGTATAACTGAGTCAATGTTAATTCGTTTTTCATCTAAATTCATTCAGGTATTTACAAGCATCAGCTTATCCTAAAGAAATGATTATACTAATTGATAAAAGTGGTAGTATGAAAGGTCGAAGTGATATTTTATCAAACGCTACAGCTGTTGAAATATTGAACACTTTAACAGACAATGATTATTTCAATGTGATGCTAGTAAGTGAATTGTTCAGGCTTACTTACTGTATATTATCTAACTTTATGATGAAATGTTTAACGATACACAAAAAAACCATCGAACTTATACAATCTGTCTAAGATAAGATATTGATAGTTTGCCAGACTTGTATTCATGATAATAATTCAAGACGATATGGTAATCTAAGTCTAAACTGAATTCAAACCAGTCTATGGATCAGTGATTAAGTGTTCTAACATCTGAGCTACGAGATCCAGTACACTAATCCATTCATCATCATCATCATCATCATCAGCAGCAGCAGCAGCAGCAAGAGACTTAATTCCTAGCCAACACTTCTTATATCATTTCATTATTATTATTATTATTAGTCCCTTGGGTTCCTAGTGGAACATAGGGCTTCAGTAGCACGTCTCCAGTGACCTCTGTTCTCTGAGATCTTTTGAACCTGCCTCCACGACAGTCCACAAGCTCTCATTTCCTCCTCGCACGATCTCCTCCATGTCACCCTCGGACACCCTCGCCCAACTCGTCGCTTCCCATGGGGATTCCACTCGAGGCACTGGCCTGACGCGTGATGTCCCCAGTCGGCTTTCTCAGTGTATGTCCAATCCATTTCCACTTCTTCTTGGTTGGTTGGCCCTTAGAATAAATTTTAGAAATTATAGTCAACGAAAAAACAATCTATGAAACAGAAAAAGATTTAATCCACACATCAAAGAAAATAAAAGATGGCGGGTACATTTCATCAACTTTATCTGAAGAATTTGAAACCTACAAGCAACATTATTTCATGAATGTATGAGTTGCCAAGAAATACTGTAACATGAGGTACGACTTCGCTCTATCCTTGGAATGACTAACTCACCTTACAAACCCTATTGCGAAATAGTTATTACAATAAGTTTATACTTTATGTGATCAGTTAGCAAAGTGAAACATGAAAGACAACTTTGAAGAAATAGATGCGATCCCTTGGTGTCACATTGTTTCTGTGCACGACCACGTTATCCGTGTCATAGCTTCGGATCTAGCGTTTTGAGCAGACATGTCGCTATGATATAAACTTCTTGGGAAAACAAATAGTTAACAACAATAAGAGGGTTGAAGACTGAATGCAGCAAAAGGACAAAATAGATAAGGGAGGACAATTTATGTTGGCTTACCTTCAGACACTTGTCACTCGATCCTCTGCTCTTGACCAACGAGTTTAACCGTAAGCTCCGGATGTGTATGCATGACCAGGAAAGACATTTTCTGGGGGATGACCTCCGAGGAGAACCGAGGGCTAAGTCAGTTTGGCAGTTGAAATGCCCAAGAACCACTGACAGGAGGTAGACAGGTTGGTTCAAAGGAATAATAATGCCAATTTTCAACTGTTGAGAAGTGAGCTGACGAATACGCAGTGGTGAAGTGTGCGCACGGACAGAAGTGCTGCAGACGTTCGATTTTTTCAGATTGAGTATTGCAATAGGGAGTTTTTCAATGTGTAGAAATACAAAAGCTGAGAGTGGAGCGAAAACACGTCACTATTCAACGAGCGCGCGAGAACGCTTTATTAGGATAACTTAAGCTGGTGCCAGTATTGTCAGTGAGTTGTTCAATATGATTCTTCATCAACAGATGATTCGAACTAGGTTTTGAATTGTTGATCTGGTGACAGAGCTCAAAAACAGCGGATTTAAAATGATGAAAACTACGTTATATACATCTATGATAGTGTAGACTTTGATCATTTCCTTGAAGGAGCTCGGACCATATTTCTGTGGTAAATGTTGGAATCCCTAATTTCATGCATGCTGAAATTTGTCCAAATATTACTTATTTCTAACGCCAGCTTCGGATAGGAGACGTTACCATTCAAGTTGTCACTTCGACTTCAAATCAGTTAAAGTAGGCTTGGTTTAAATATCACCGTAAAAGGAAGGAGAAAACCTTCAGTGGCAAGATGGAAAAGCCTGAACTTTGGGCTACCAATGAAATTTTACATTTAACATATTATATTGAATTTCCCCTTTCAAGTTGTATTAATATCTCAAATATCTCCACCTTACATTTCACCAAATCTTGAGGATTTTTAAAATGTTCTGAACTAATTGTTTTGAGATTGGATAAACGACATAATCAGCTGATTTCGTTTGATCCGAATTCTGTGTGTACTGCTCAGTTTACTGACACACACTGAAATGCGTTACCTCCATCTGTTTCGAGATAAAACTTGATAGGCTACTCCACCTTTGACCAGATATGCACAGGTGTGTGGGCGATTATTATTTAGGATTGGGTTTATTTGATCTCTGCGACTAACTGCAGCAACAAAAAGGGTGCATGCCTCTTAAAATCAGACAAGTATTTGGTGTTTGTGGTTTGCGATCACTACGGTAACTATTACTTACGTTATTCAGATCTATTAACGTCACTTTTCAACCTTTCCAGCTTTCAAATTCTTCAGACACCGTAAAACGCAAAGAAACCGTAGTCAGACTGTTCCTCAAATCTAGCGGAATAAAATACAAACGAGCTTATGCTATTATTGCTTTTTTCGAAACGACCTCTAAAAGGAGAGCAGAACTTTCTCCACCAGTAGCATGCTAGTTACGTGACCTGGAAATGCGCCACTACCTCACATACACTGTATGCCCTCTATCCATTGCTAGTCGTTTTTTGAAGTAATATCAAAACGAAGGAAAAATGTCATATTAGACGGAGATGAAATTTTGTATACACAAGAATACATGATATTTCTATCCTTTGGATACCTATCTCATATAGTGCATTCTTCTACTGGCCCAATGAACCACTATCACTAAACACTAGGTGTTATTCCAGCACAAACCGCCTACTTCACATTATTACCTTTGATGCTGTTATTATGAATATCATTGAGACGCCATGATCATTTTGTTTGAAAACGTCGTCTTGGTAGTAAATTTCTTGATTTATTACATGCTGAGAATTCCATAATGTGTCAAACATCTTGTTTGAAATAAAGCATTTATTATTATTACTACTTAACACCCTAACCTTAACTCGTTACAATACAACTTTGAATCTTATTATTAATTTCCTTCCCCCATGCTGGATACATTCATTATGCCCGATCACCAGTCGATTGACAAAATATTCGTTTATTTTGTTATTTGTTCTATAGCAGGCAGTACGCCGGGATTACACAAGTAAAAAAACACCTTATATGATGAATCAGTTCACACTTATAGTTTACGCGCTCAACCTATCATCTCAATTGATACACCTACGCCTATGAGTCATACTATCAAGTTACACAGTCCAATTATATATTGGTGATGGAGAGGGGCTAGCAGTGGAATTTAGGACGCGCATTTCGTCCTATTTGAAACATACGCAATATCCAAGCATCCGCGTAGGAGCCCATATGCCAGTAGGGATCGATCAAATTCTATTCAGTCAACAACGGGAAAATACAAGTAACAACATTAATCTGATTGTAATTATGATCTTATATGCACTTTAAAATGCATTCGCCACAAATCAGGCAATAACCATATTGACGACTTTGATTTTATAACTGTAGAACCTGACGACAAGTTACTGAGAAAGAAAATTTTTCGTTCATATTTAACATTTAAAGTGTGAACTGGGGATCACTAGATATCTGTTATCCGGGAATGGTTGTCTCAGGCAAAGGAGCTGTGGTTCGTTGAGCAACGCGTTTTACTTTCTACCGTTGTGTTGTGCCGTCACACACTACCCCGAAATCAACAGCCTAGGGTTTGGCAACATTGATGCTGACTTTGATAGTTCAACTGGACTCGCTAAGCTGAAGGCACCCGGTCAAGCATCCTCGCCATTTGGCACACTGTCGTGTTACATTACACTGCTCGTATTCGACTCTCTAGCCAGTTAGTTGGAACGCATCGGCATCTTGGCACAACCATCCAAATATACTATTCCATCCGACTACGCTATCGTGTTCTTCCTTGGTCTGGTATTCGTGGGTATATAACAAGTCCGGATAATTAGTGATTGGTGTTTGCGTCTGTCAAGTTCGCACCAGGACAACTCCTAAATTGTTGAGCCCGATGTGATCACATATCCCGACCAATGACAGATATTGAATTGGTGACCTTGTGCCATTTGATATTTCTATCTTGCTTTAGTTTTATAACCATTATATATACACTTACTACACTTTCTCATGTCGAACCACACTCCCAAGCTTATCCGCACTAAGCCGACCACGAACAGGTGGTGGTCCACGGGACAAGAGGAACCAGTGGTTGGAGACCCTAGGTGATATGGCTCAGAACCGAAGTCAGTGGCGCAGATGTATACACACATTATCCTCATCTTAACAACGCTATACCGAATCTCACTATTTTGTCACTCCTCTTTCCTTTCTTCTCATACTTATATTTCTTTGACTGCATTCACTTATCTTCATCCTTCACCTCACTACCTTTTTACTTGATGTGCTGATATGAGGTGTGGCAACTCGCAGTAATGCCTGGTCCTATGTTGATAATGATGATGATGATGATGACCACGAACACGACCCAGCTCGTGCCATATTGGCCAGACAATGCAAAAACACGGTTTCTGTATGCCAAGGCAGATTTTCGAGAACAGGGTGTCTCAGGTCCTCATTCTCGATTTCTTTCCTTCATACGTTCACTACCGTGGGAATTAAATAGACATGTTACAGCACACGTGTTTAATCCTGAAGCAAGTGATCCTTGTGCACTTCTCAAGGCCACATTCTTGAAGGAAAGCGATCTGACAGATCGCCAGCACCTAGACGAATTACTTTGTAACATCGAGCTAGGCAGCCACCCAGCTACTGAAGTCCTTGCACGCATGCGTGAAGTAACCGGCGCACGAACATTCGACGATGGCCTTTTCCGAGAACTATTTCTCTCAAAACTACTACAACCAATGCGAACCGTGTTGGTGACACTGCAGTCAGTCCCACTCGATGACCTGACAGCCTCGGCAGATAAAATACTGGAGATTCCTAGCAGACCCATCTGTAACGTATATTCTGTCTGCGACAAACCAGAGGGCCAGGATTCAGAGGTGACCAAGCTGTGCAACTCTGTGAAACAGTTGCTACGATCTCGAAGTCCTAGTTCACGTAGCACTCCACAGAAACGCATAGCAGCAACTCGCTTGGTTGCCCCAAAACTGAACCTAACAGGGTAGAAAAGCCTAAGTGGTGCTGGTTTCATAATACTTATGCAGGCGAAGGCGGAAAATTTACGTCTAGTAAGGTTCAAATAAAGTTC